TAGGATAGAACTTGATTTATGTGGTGATAAAATGGCAACTCTTCATGTTTTACCAGTTGCAAATGTACTATAAATGGGACATATAATAATATAATATTATAAATATGAAATAGTAAATTTGCTTTTTTAAGAAGGAAATTTCAGCTGTCCCAGATTTAAACCAATGAATTTTTGAAGTCAAACTTTTGCTGATTCACAATATAGAGCCACACCCTTATCAATAGCTTGATGCTTTAGCAGAGCTTTAATTTTGTGGCTTGTGCAGTGAATACAGAAATAGTAAAATTTAGGTCCTCAAAAATGAAGATGCTACGTGATGTCTTCGCAAGTATTGTAGAACATCAAGAGATGGTACATAATTGATAACGTCTTATTATGATGAATTTCACTTTGATTATATTATGTAGCTAAGAATACTGTACAAGAAAAATTTAGATTTAAATTCTAAAAGGTATATTTACTATGTAGGATTTTATGGTTATGCATTTGTATTAGAGCACCAGTAAAAGATTTTGACAATGAAAGACAAATGAAGAATCAAGCAAAAGATTTCAACGGTATGTGTTTCATGTCGTGTTATTCAAATTCATTTTTAATTGTTTGTAGAAGAAATGGAAAGAAGTAAAACAGGTTCTTTGCAAAGTAAATTTTTGAAATTATTTTAATAATATTATTTTATATAGAAACAATTGACCAAAATTTAGGGCATTTCAATAATAATAGATCTCATAAAGTAATGTTTTTGAAAAATGTTATGGCAATGATACTTTTACATAGCCAGCGCCTTTATTCTCTCACAAGGAAGTATATAGGGCTGGCTTTGTGACTCTAATTGTGGCTGGGTTTTTGTGCTTTCATGCTGAATCAGTAACGTACAACTTAAATTTATACATGCAAACGAACTTGAAGAGATCATTTGACAATCTATGTAAAGAAAGCATGAGAAGACATGATTCGCTATTCACAGATGAAAGTGAATACACCAAGTGATGATAAAAATGTATGCTTTCATTTGTCTCACATTCACATTTACAACTATAATTTCTGTCACATGATGTAGTGATAAACTAAAGAAAATAAAGCCAATGGCTACTTCGCAAAAGCCTAAACTGAACCAACCTCAGAAAGTAATAAAAATGAATTTAATTCACTGTATCAATCCTGATAACTACAACTAAAAATCTAAAGCCTGGTGATATTCGTAAAGATTTAGCAAAAAACATGAGGTATGTGGAGTCAGTGACCTTGTCTTCCTAAATTATAAAACATAACAGATAAAGAAGCTTTTTTCAGGGAGCAGTGTCTTTTGGTCAGCCAGTAACAAACAAATTGCATTAAGAAAATTATTACCTGCCACACAGCTTATAGCTGCGTTGATTAAAACTTTTTTGATGCCAGCACATTTGCCATTAGTAACGCTAAATATGGTAATAGTGGCATGCTCTAGACTCTACCATCACTGATACTAATAAAGGTAAGCAGCTACAATTTAACTATTAATTGTAGTTTGGTATAGCCTATGCCATGCAGAAATTCTTAACTGTTACATTATTGTCACATTAAATAACAAGTGTACAGCTACTAGTAGAGTACTTAAAGGGACACATTCACGGAAGCTCATTATCTTGAAAAACTGGCCCGTTTTTCAAGATGACATCATTAATGATGATGTTTACTGTTAATAACTATTAATAACATACGGCCACGCCCCTAAAAATTAAGGCAAAATGGCTACTTAAGTGGTTACTTGTAAATAATTCTGTGTTTCTTCACTAAAAAGAGTATCTTTGGATAGCAAGAGCTGATTCTGGTCAAGAGAATTGTTGTACAATTGCCTACTCCTGGTTCTACGCCCCATTACTCTGTTTCTACTCTCTACACGTTATAACTATTAATATTAATGATCTGTTGCACACCCAATTTAATGTTTACTTTCTCTACTGTAACGTGTGCATCTATTTCCATGAACATGTCCCTTTAATGAAAAAGTAAAGCTGGCACCTGACTGGAATAGATGAGAGGTTTGCTTAAGACTAAGAATGTGACAAATGACAAGTTGAAAGATGCTAATTATATAATTATTATTTAATAATTAATTCAAATTTAAAATTATTAATTTTTGACCACACCTTTTTAGCTGATTGCCAAATCAGATCTTGCAGATGAGATCATTAGCTGCAGCTGTCTCATCATCATGTGTCATGTGAGATGTCACTTCCTTTACCTATTCTACATTCATGAAAATGGAAAATACTCTTTCTCACTTTAATCAGTTATCTCACAACTAATACCTGCAACTGACTCAAAAACTTCAATGTATGCAGCAAGTTAAGATACTATTAATCGCAATGCCTTGTAATCTTTTTAATATAGCAAAATTTGCTTGAGTTGTAACTGGTCTCAGACATGTTCAGCAATGATCACATTTCATAGATAATTAGTAGGAGTTTCCATACACTTTGGAATGGTACAATAAGCGCAAGAAAAAGATCTGCACTTACTTTAAAAGTATAATATCTTTGCTTTTGCTATAAAAGTGTGGTTTAGCTATCTGAGCCAGAGGAGAAGCTAGCTTTTGCTACCCACATAGAAATTACCGAGTGGAATCAAGGTTGTGACAAGGTTGAAACATGGTAACAAGCTTGTAACAACCTTGCAACAAAGGTGCAAAATTTTTTAGACATTGTCAATACATTGTATAAAGTCTGTTCACATTGGTTACCACCTTATCACAACCTTGACCACTCATTGTAAGCTGCCAGGTTGCACAAGCTATACACAACTACCTCACCATTTAAATCATTACAGCTGCATTATTTAAATTGTAAGTGAATGAACAGTGTGACATCCAAATGTGTTGTAACAGTCTTGTGTCAAAATCAGAGATTTGTTAAAGAGTAAATTAATGTTATATAAAATAAAATGAGTTACAATGAAGCATCAATTTCAATAGTATTAGCAAAATGACTAGCATATATTGTAGTTGACAAATCCATAATGACTACCTTCTCATAGATATCTCTGCAACTAATTATTTTTCTATTCGTGTCACTAAAAATTATTACTATTATTAAACAATTTTTCCAAATTTTAGACTAACCTTATTGGATAGAAAGCAAAGAAATGCTGGTGCAACTGTGCATGGGTTATGTTGTCAGTACAGAGTTGCTCAGACAAAGGTAAAAGCTGTAACACCACACAATATGAGTCTGTAACATCAAATGCAGTGGTAAAAATAATATCCACTATTCCCCAGTGAAAGTTTCCATTATGCTTATACAGAATACCCGAGTCATCTCTTTTAGTGGCAATTGAACAAGATTTCGATTTAATGACAGCTTTAATTGGCAGCATCAAACTCGGATATTCCAATGTATCTGAGTCTAAACCAAATATTTCTTTTTGAAGTAGGAGGTCAGAAGAAAAAAGGACTTGCTTACAGGGTTTTCCAATAAATACTGTCATATCTCATGTCAGTGTAAGTCCTATAGGAAAATGTGAGTTATACAATTTTGTACTTTTATTATCAAACTTGGTGGATCTTTTTGTATTATGCCATTTTGATATACTCATCATGAAGTTCGCTCCCTGGTACCAATGTTGAATTTGCCAATGATGGTAGCTTCTGAATTACACTACAATAGTTAACAACCTACAGTAAATGCACATAATCATACTTTGAAATGTAATGTGTACTTGTTTTTCAATAGATTGAGATCTATGGAACAAGCTGAAAAATTCACCATTTTCAGACTCATATGGGAAACATGAATGGGCCCATAATGGTCCTAACTGTCTCACAGCGTTTGGAAGATGAAGAAGACTATGAACATTAATGGTCATATTTCTTTTACCTATGTACATTATAATGATAAATAATTATTTATAGTTTTTATATTTTAATACCATATAGTGAAGCAATACAAAAGCCGTAATGTTGCAAAACCAGCAGACTCTGTTTGACATCTTCAT